AATCCGAATTCCCGGTTTTTTCACGGATTTCCCGGTTTTCCCGGTTGAATGGACACCCTGGTCATTTATAGCCAAATAGGAAAAATAGCGTGCCTATGGTTACTTGGGTAGCGCTTTTGGTAGGCAAGTTCATGTAAACATTGAAAAAAATGTGAAATTTGAAATGGCTTGCTCAAATTCAGTGAAAAATAGTAAATTAAGCTATATTTGAAATGGCTTGCAACCCTAGTAAACATGTCAAGGAAAATGATGATTTGATTTACGGCTGAAAGTCTCGATAATAGAGACAAAACTAACTGATAAATTTGAAGTGGCCTGTGCCTCTGATATACATTAAAGGAAAAGTTAGAAAAAAATTGTTAAATAGTACCACTGAACTGGTTAAATGTTCATCCGATTGAGGTTAACCACTATCGGTGCAAATATTTATTCTATTCAATTTTCATACTGCCGTACTCTAACGGAACTATCCACCTACCCTCTTCTAAGATCATTCTCTAGCGAATAAATTATCACACTAAAAAGCTTCATGTTAGATTCCATTTCCAATCAACTCTGAAAATCGCAAACTTCGCGTATGACCATACATAAAAACACTTTGAATGTAGTTAATCACTTAAAAAAAAGTTCGTTATTATTTCGGAAAATACTGAATCACTTCAGGAATGTTCGGAATCACTTCTAAAAAGGATTGTATCGCTTCATAAAAATTCATAAATATGGAAAATGATGAATCACTTCAGAAATGTTTTTGATCACTTCAAACAATTCAGAATCACTTCGGAATGCATTAGAAATGTTCAGAATCACTTCTGAATGTACTTAATCAGTGGCGTCGCGTCCACATGTGCAACCTGTGCACGACACAGGAGTGAATAATTTTAAAAAAAAAATAAGTGCCAACATTTCAAAGGGGCGTAATTGCTTTTGTAAACAATGACTTTAGCCGTCAATTTCTCGCGAATGAAATCTTACGTCTCCAAAATTAAAATGCTACCTGGTAGAGGAAACATTCCTCTACCTACTGGTGTCATTATTTTTCATGAGTGAGCTTTTATTCGCGAGAAATCGACGGCTAAAGCTATTGTTTATAAATGCAACTACGCCCCTTTGAAATGTTGCCACTGAAATGCGTTTAGATTTTTATAGATTTTATAGTCACATTATAGCTGTACTTCTTTATTCCAGACCACAAGTGACCATGAATACACTATTTTATAGTGTGGCTTGTTTTGCTTCAAAAAAGATTATATTCAGTTCGGATGGTCTGTCTATTCCCTAATGCATTGATTTCTAAGCATGTCGATATCACTACCATGACAAAACTCATTAAATAGTGCACCTAAAAGAGACCTTTATTTTGGGTGGGGGATGGCAAGTTTGTGTATGATCAAATGTCTGATGTAAGCCAAGCAGACCTTCTATAACCTCTTGAAATATACCACAAATTTTCCACAATACATGGCGGTTTGCACCACTAGCTGTAATTGAAACTTTCACCAGTCACGCATCAGACGGGAGCAACACGGAAACAGCAGTCTGGTACGCTTTGGATGTTATCGTACTTGCAGACCGGTTTGAATGTGTGAGTTTAAATTAGAAGAACATTGTGATGTATGGGTACCTAAAGCGTGCATTTCTCGCTGTGCACTTGGATATCTGATTGCAGGCAAAAAGAGTAATGGAGAAAGAGAGCGCAAAAGCTCGCTCTCACTCTCTTGTCAGTTGTAAATCTCTCAATTACCGATGGTTGCGCCGTTGCGTCTGTCAAAACTTATGAGCTTCTCCTGGTTCATTCTGATAGTGTTGTACTGATGAATAAAGTGTTGATCGATTCAAGTTTGCTACCCAGGGAACTTAAATTTTCTCTAGATGTTGGCACTGTTTTGTATCAAAAAATGTTTTCGGAAGTGTTTGACGGATATTCTTCATTACACTTCAGTCGAAAGAGTTAGCCTTGTGATAAAAACGAGAATTAGTTAAGTTTTGCAATTCCTCCTACTTCGGTTAGCGCGAAAAGGGCCATACAAGTTTTGTTTGCACAAGATGATAGGTCCTTCAAATGTTACGTTAGGTAGTGATTAATATAGAATATGTCCCTCGAATTTATGGAGCATTGAAAAATAAAACAAAAACTAATATTTGGTGGTAAACTATAACGAAACAAAGTTTGGTGCACAGGTAAACAAATGAGGCACGCGACGCCTCTATACTTAATCGATTGATAATAGTTTGGAATCATTTAAGAAAGTACTGAATCACTTCAGAAATTTGAGCAGTCACTTCACAAAATACTGAATAACTTCAGGATAAATCAAAACACTTTAGAAACATTCTAAATCACTTTCGAAAGCACTGAATCATTGCGGAAAGTTCACTTCGGGAATAATAGAATCACTCCGGAAAAGACTGAATAACCTCAGGAATGTACGGAATCACTTTAGAAGTAATGAATCACTTCAGAAAAGTTCATGATCACTTAGGAATGTACTGAATCATTTCAGAATGTTCTGAACCACTTCAGAAAACATCGGATTCTCTTCAAAGAGTAGAAAGTTTTAAATAACTTCAGAAAGTACTGAATTCTAAACAGAATCACTTCAGAAAAGTTCAGAATCCCTTCATAATCACACTTCAATTACTTCAGACAATTTTGGATTCACTTTGGAATGTACTGAATCATCCCAGAAAGTTTGTAATCATTTCCGCAGGAATAGCATCATTTTGAAAATAGCTGAATAAGTTAGAAATGCACTGAGTTACTTCAGAAATGTTAGGAATCATTTCGGAAGTACTAAATCATTTCAGAAAGTACTGAATCACTTCCGAAAAATTCGGAATCACCCAAAAAAGTACTGAATCACTTCAGGAATGTTTGGAATCACTCTGGAAAGCACTGAATCATTGCCGCAAGAAGTGAATTACTTCGGAAAGAACTGAATCACTTTTGAAAAGTTTGAAATCACTTCTGAAAGTACTGAAACGCTTCAGGAAAGCTCGGAGATTCTTCGGATAGTATTGAATGAGTTAAGAAAATTTCTGAATCTCTTTGGAAAATACTGCATCTTTCCAGAAAGCTCGTGATCACTTCCGTAAGAACTGAATCATTTTGGGAAGAACAGAATCACTTCACAAAGCCTTGGCAAGTATTGTATAAATTCTCTCAAGCTTGCAATCACTTAATCAAGAACTGAATCACTTTGTAATAACTGAATTATTTCAGAATAGTTTTAAATCCCTTCAGAAAATATTACATCACTTCTGAAAAATCCGAATAACTTTGAGGAGCACAGAATCATTCATAAAAAAAGTTGGAAATCTCTTCGAAAAGCACGGAAACCAGTGTTGGCAAAATCAGAAATCAATTGATATTTTTCCGCTCTCATGCGCTCGCAATATCACGCGTGATATTGGAACAAAATATCATGCTTGATATTGATTTTACAAGCTCCTTTGATAGTGCGAGACTATTCACAATGTGCAAAATCAAGCTGAGAGTTGACTCGACACAAAAATGATTCCATTGCACATCGTTTCCTTAGAAAGAGAAAGCATAGTTTGCTATCTCCTTTTAATCTTCACCGATGGCAGACGCGAAGGGACTGCTGCAAGCCGTTATGGAAGTTGCGGTTGCATTCGGGTTTAAAGCAAAAATCATTAAACTCCATCTCACCACAGTTTGGTGAGATTTGCAGTTGGTGAGTTTTATTAGCTTGATATTCCGAGCTGCGATATCACAGCTTGCTAATCAAACGCAGTTGTTTGCTTGTTGATTTTTGTCTTCTTGGGCGTTGGTGAGAGTTTTTATTTTTTTTATTTTTTTATTTTCCCAACACTTACGGAAACATTTTAGAAAATCACGGAATCTGTACTGCATAATAGCTCGAACTCACTTCAGAAAGTGCTGAATCACTTCGGTACTATCAGACATAAGTAAGCATGAGAATGATTAACCGCTCGCGGTTGATACTCCGTTATTGCCAGGTCACAAGTATTACACAGAGAAGCAACAAACGATGCATTGGTCTAGTATGCCTCTGCAATGTGTAAAAACTGGCCACCGGCCACGTCCAAATGTAGGTCAATCAGGGAATGAAAAGGAATGTGTTGACGTGATTCTCGCTTTGTTGGAAACCGAGAAGTTCTCCTCAAATCCATGAATTTTTCAATAGTTTGTAAACAGAATTCACTTAAGGGAGTATTGATGCTTATCGTTAAGCCACATTAGCACTCAATTGTGACACATCTAAATAGGTCTCGATTTTGGCAACATAGATAAAGTATAGTCAACTCTCTACAACTTGATGTTCACTAACTCGATAACGAGTTATAGAACCGTAGTAAACATGAATGTCCTGGCTACTGCGATAGCGAATTTGTAAGGGATTGTAATTCCAAACTCAATAATTCTATAATTCAATGGCCCCTTCAATATCGAGATGTAGAGAGTGCACTGTAGTTATGTTTCCAAAAACGAGATCTATCTGTGCTGATATTACATTACCATATCAACTAGATAATACATTATTTGAAACAACGTCATCAACGTCAGGGGCAGACGCATCGTTATTTTAGCCAGATTTATATTTCAAGGGCGCAGGGTGGGTTGGGTGCGACTACTTAGCTCAAATTTTACGAACACAGCACTGCAATTCCAGATTTTAGGTAAATTTTGTAAGTCCCATTGGATTTTAATCAATCTTATTTAATTATTGTTATCATTCAGAATTCATAATGTTTTCATATTATTATTATTATCCAGAATCTCTAAAATGTTTAGATGGCATCTATGAACTTTGTTATTAAAATTAGGGTTAAATACTTTTTTTTTATACATAGGATGACGAAAAAAAATTTTCTACAGTTATATCATTTTTCTTAGCTCACTTTACACAATTTGGCCTTCGGCTCAATGGCCCTAAGACTCTAAAAAAATTTCACTGGAATTGGTGTATACAACTTATGATATCTTGCTAATGTAATTTTAAAACCAAACTTACCGGAAAGTCCACCAAATATTGAAACACATTGTATTCAGCCAGAAGAAGGCAGCCAGGAAAAAGAAATGCACGATGATAGCTGAAAGTATAAAAAAGAAACAAATATGAGTATAACTGTTGATGTTCTTTTTAACAAAATTTACACGAAACTTAAAACAGTTGTGTTTTTAAATTGTCCATCTTTAGAAACCAAATTTATCGACGGTGAACTCACCATTCCCAGATGGGCATTTGAAAAAATCAATATTCCGAAATTCCCAAAACAAAAATCGATCCGAGAATTTGAATAAGAGCGGAAATTGACAAATTTTCACTAGTCCTCATCAATTCCGAAACTCAATTATACGCTCCGCATACGTTCCATCGAAGTGATTTGCCATCCCTCCCCGAGCACAGCCTGCCTCGAAGACGCAGCATAAAAGAACCGCACTCACGTACCCAGACCATATTGGCCGAAAATCGCCACTCTCGACTTCCAGCGGAACTGCGTGAGCCGGAAACTTCAAAAGGCATCGTCCGTCGTCGGCGACAGGCAAATTGATTCAATTATGAGCCTTTTCCGTTCAGTACTCACTTTCATTCGGAAGTCCTCACCGTCCAGCCACACGACACTACATGGTCGTTGGGAAAATCGATGCGAACCGTCATGCATACGCCAGTTATGCGTCCCTGAATCCTCACACTATCGCTCAGAACAAACAGGACTAATTTTGGGTGCCATTTACTCGATAGGACGTATTTTTTTGCAAGCTAACAGCTCTCATGACTCTATTCTGGACGAGTGTTTCACTCTTGGTGCCCTCTAGTGACATCGACCAGATCCCATGGCCTGGCACTTGCCGAGAGATGTGTCCTTCCATTTTGCCATTTTCCTTGTGTGCCTTCCTCCTATTGACAGCAATTTGGGCGGCTGGGAGCAGGGAGCATCCGACCCCGGAAGAGAATAATTTGTTTGTATTGTTATGTCTCTGTTTGCTGCCGTTTGCTACTGTTCCCGAAGCACAAGAAAAAGTTTCCAAGCTGGAAAATTTTCTCCCGGCTTCTCCGGAGCCCTGGAAATGGCGTACACAAGAGCAAATGGTTTCATATCGTTGGAATCCTTTTTGTCCTCCCGCCCTAGCACCGTCGTCGTCTTCGGTCTTCAGGACATTTATGCCGGAGACAGTTTCGCTTTCATTTCCTCCCATTTTCCCCAAACTCCTTTCGCACAAAACGGGAGTCGGTTTAATGTGTATCTATATCTGCCTGCTTGCTTGCTTGCTTGCTGATGTTCTGCTCACAAGTGGGTGGCAACGCAAACACAACCTTGGGTGAAAGTGCAGAAGCATATGAAAGTTGTGGCGAAACTACATTTCCTCACCAAATAATGAATTTAATTTCCAGACTGTCCCAGGGTTCGGTTCGGTTCGGTTCGGGTCTATCGCTGCTTAAGTGGAGTGTGCTATTTTGCACTTCTAGCTACGAAGGGTCGATGAGGATGACGACGATGATGATGATGATGATGATGGGTTGATTTAATGCAATTTCTGGAAAATTTCTACGTACTTTGTTATAATAATAGCTTCGGGCTAGAAGAGTGAAAATTGCTGAAATATTTTATCAGGATGCAAGCCGTTATGCTTCCAGATTACAGATTTGTATTTTATGAGATTCGATTAGTTTTACTGAGCACGGTTTTTCAAGAAAGTCATAGACAAGTTTTCGTGAACGATAAATCGATATATTTGAAAGGGTATATAATTTCCAAACGTATAAGATTCATAATTCTGTCATAATCTTTACTTTTGCAGTAAGTGTTTGATGAAATTTTTCTCCAGATATTTAACGACCTAACCCAAAACCCACATTGAAATTTCATGAATGCCGTTAACTTGAAATTATTCTTAATTTTATTTTTTGCTTTCATACTGGAACTTTCACCTAATTTAATAAATAAGGGTCTTAAGTTATTCGCCTGGATTCTTCCCAAGTTTAGAAGTAGTAAAACAAATCATTAGGTTTAAATTTCCAAATGTAATATGATGGTGGTGGTCGCATGATTACGCATTTGTCAATAGTAAGTTTAAAAACAAATAAATAAGTAAATATTTTCTTTCGGCAACACTCAATTGACTTCATTGGGTATAACGTATAATCGTAATAATAGGTAATGTGTAATAACTGATTGAGTCAAGCAACTGCTAACTGCTTGAGCTCACGATGCTCATAATCACATTCATCTAATTATTTCAGTCCCTTTGTTCTGTATTAGGTCAATTATCCAAACACCATCCCGCAATCGTACCAACAACTGCTAACAGGGAAACTTCACGCGACCTAACGGTGCTGCACTGATTCGCTGATTAGCAACAAACGCTCGCTCAGCACTTCTTCATCTTTCTGCTGCTGACCAAGAGCTCGTTATGGGTCTAAGAAAATAGCGACTAAGCGAAGAAAGCCATCCAATGGAGCTTTGTTTTCCACACCTAATCCATCATCTGCTGTGGACCGCGGTAAAGCAACACTTTCGTGGAAATTGGCAATCTTTCCGTAGTCGTCGCCGCCGTCGTCGCGTCGTCGTCATGGCAAAAACAAACGGAACTATTATGTTGCGGGAGAGAATCGTGCAGTGCTGATCAGTTCAATCAGAACCGCTAGAACTGACCCTTTCGATACCTGAATGAAGGAATGCTTACCGTTGAAATAACGTGCTCCAGTCCTTCTCCGGGAGACTGATGTTGGTTATGATAATATATTTAATGTCCGACTATTGAAAGGAGCAGCGATGACGACGTTGTCGTCGTCGGTCGGTCGGTCGGTCGGTTAGTTGGCCAACTTCCCGATCTAGTAAATTGTTGACTCCGCACTTTATCTCAGTCGTGGTTTTTATTTATTTAATGCTTCCTTCGTTGGCAACTCGTTTCATGGCTACCAAAGCAAACCGTTCGAATTCAGATCGCATCTATCTATTAATGAAGTGAGAAGGAGTATAGAGAGCAGTTGGGAAAAGAGAGTACATAGAACGACGACGCACCGCCACACCGCGCCTGTCTGCCACAAGGGAAGCATATTTCAAGCAGTTTATTAAATCAAAACAATGATAAGCAATTAGAGTTAATTCAATTCGTTGGAATTATCGGTTCTTCTTCTACCAACAAACGGTTCTCGTGGGGAGCAAGTCGGATGTAAATAGCTGCATGCTACTGGGACCCTGGCGTGGTGGAGCTGGAAACCGCTTATGATGATCTGAACGATTTCATTTTAATAGAGAGGAATTGTGCGCAAAAAATTGAAATTCATACCGTCAGTCAGTCGACGGTTATGGACTGACTGAAGTGGTTGTTGGTCGGTTGGTTGGCGGTAGCTGATATATACTACACACAGCTGACTACTGACACTGGAGGATGATGACGGCAACCCACAGCTCATACAACAGGCAGAACGCTGCGCGGAATAAATTTGCATCGTAATTTATGGTATTTAGCGTAGAATTTATTTTATAACGGTTTTGCACTGTGAGCGATCTCGCCCCGATCGGTTTCGGTTTTGCTGTGCAAATCGTGAGGAAGGTGGTCGGTACTTTGCTGCCTTTTATATCGTGCCCTACAATGTGCAACAGCAGCAGAGTACAAATTAAGGACTTGTGGTGAAGATTACCAGTGTCCATCTACACTGCGCGTTGATGGGTTTAGCTTTGTCGAACAATTTGCCTTGCACGTGCGGAAAATCGGATCAGGAATGCTAATATTGTGGCACTGCGCTTGGGAAAAAAAATGCATAACGGGGAAATTAATAGTCTTATACTTTGTATGTCCCGTTGGCAATGTGCGCTTGGTAAATAAAATGTTTATGACTGGCAACATTTTTAGAAAAGTTTGTTGCAAAATGTCGTGATAAAAATATTGCCAAATGACAGTTTTGTGGGAAAATTTTAGTACCGCAAACTACGTCATTTTAAACAACAGGCCAATAACATAGGTTATAAGATTAATTCACAAGTGAAATACGATATTATGACTGATCTATGCCCTACATGAAATGTTTTGGATCACCAATAGAGTGCTGCAAAATTTTAAATTTTCTCTCCATAGTGCATAAACGATCCTGATTAACAACCCAAAATATGAACTCGCTTGGTACGAAATTGACAGGGCGGACACCATTTGATGTCTTTTTTATTGTTATAGTCACTTTAACATTCTTGGGTCATTCGTGACCTATCCGGGATGAGATTTGAACGTAGAGATATAAATATTGGAAAATGAAATACGTTTATAACTGTCCAACAAAACAATATAGCAACTTGGTTGCTTGGGAAATAAATAAATAAATGTATAAAAAGCTACTGCACCAAATTTTTTAGGGTTCACCCTAAACCCTCCAAAATCGGTTTCGTCAAATTTTTGGGCAAAGATGTAAAACTTTTTATTTGAAGCAACTTTGCTGCAAAAACCAATTTTTTATCTTTAATGGTTTATGTTTTATATAAAGTTTTAATAACTAACTTAGGGTGATCCCTATAACCGGTTTATTATGTTTCTTTTTTCTGATTTTTTGAAAGCGATGTATTCTGGAACCTTCCATTTCCAGAACATTTGATTACGCATGTCTTTGCTGAAATAACGAATTTGATATCTCATTTTTTTTGGAAAGCTATAACCGATTTTCGTAAAAAAAAAAACGATGCTTATTGACACATATATAAATGTATGTACTTCGCTCAATTACACTTTCATTTCACCTACAAAATTTGATTCGAGCTCATTGTGTAGAGACCCATAGTGCAGGGGTATATTCGCTGTCCAGAGGTCACCATATTGGATTTTGGTCGACCACCTTGGATCCTAAAATGGCGGCGGCTGTCAATTTTTCACTTCTACTCATCTTACCCATTCCATAGATACCCATATTGCATGGTTTTTGATTCTTTGTACGCTGTCCGGAGGAAACCATAGTGGATTTTTGTCCACCATCTTGGATTTGTGGAAGCCATCTTGGGTTTAAATCCACCTTTTTTTATTTCATCCGGAATGCTTGCTTGAATTTCGGAATGTCCCAGACTCAAGAATTTAAAATATCATCAAATCCTACGATTTCGAT